CTGGCAGTGAAAGGTTGTCTGCCAACAGCTGTTACCATTAGGGTCCCTGGGCTGGAACCCGGAGTAGAGGGTGGGCCTGGGTTCCCCCCAACCCACCACTACAGGAACACCTCCTGGGAGGGGAAATCAGGCCCTGTCAGGACAGGAGGCTAAACTGTTCTAAAACAAGCCCCCAGGGACAACAGAGACTGTGGGAGTTCTCTCACCAATCTCTTTGCTGGCTTATGATGAAAAGGGCTCAGTAGACTATAACCCTGACCTAGAGAGAGAAGGGCTATGTGGAGGGTCACAGCGAGCCACTGAGGCTAGCATATACCGCCTAGAAGCGCAGGACCCACGGGGGCAAGGTCAGAGCTCTGCCACAATATATACTTTGGATTCTTTATATGGACTTTCCAGGTTTTGAGCCTTTAGGGTTGATGTTTTCAAGTGTTTCGCCACAACCACTAAGATCAGAAACTCACTTTTTTTTTTAAATGAAAGTCGAGATTCTCATGAGAACTACTTGAAATCAGGAGCTGGGATTTTGAGAAACCCACCATGTCTGGTGAGACTTGCACTAAAATCACGGGAGTTGGCAATGCTGTAAAAAACTCCCCAGCTGTAAAGCTGCCCACCATCAGCAATAATCGGCCTAGACTTCTGATGCACAAGAGCTTGGCCTATGGCATTCTAGCCTCTTCTTAGCGGGATGGTGTCAGTCCTGCTCCAGCCATGTCACTCTGCACATCTGTTCTTATGCAGCGGAGTCTGACTCCCTATATGTAAAGCCGCTAAAGGCTTGGCTCGCTGCCCTGAGGAGCCTCCTTCTGTCTCCAGGCAACAGAGTCTGTAAACATTTCAGACGTGTCTCTCCCCTCCTTCATGGAACAGGGGCATGACCAGACTTTGCAGCAACTGCACACAAAAAAGAGGGGCGTGGGGGAGCAAGGAGAGGTCTCGTTGAACATAAACGGAGGAGAAATATTTGCAGCTCACTGGGGCTGGATTCTCACTGCTGCTGCAGGCTTAAAATGTTTTTCCTTTGCACAAACCAGCACTAGGAGAGTGCCTGTAAATTTTACCACAGCATTTCTCTCTCCCTGCCTTCTCCCCCCCCCCCCTGTAATTCTTGGGATTTTATACACGGTCGGTGGATTGGAGGGAATAGCTAAGGTGGGTAGTTACTTTCCAGCTTCTGTTAGCTGTTGATGTGTTTGCTTGGTTTGACATTTTTAATTTAAGTTGAATAATAAAGTGACAAGTATGAAAGTGGTCTCCTTTGATTCTGGCTATTACAGCTGTAAAAAGCTGTAGTTGCTTTAGGAAACTAGACCCTGGATAGGACAGCACAGATCTGAGCTGGCTGTTCATACCTCTGTCATTTCCTGATGAGATACAAGTGTCTTAGGAAGTGGGTTCTGAACACTAGCCTGCTAGGGAGTACATCAGCAACGTTCTTCCTGCCCTGTCTCCCCCTCCTGAGTCCCCCATGCCAGATTCCACATACTTTTAACTCTTTCCCAGAACACATTGTTAAATCAGGGCAAAATTGACACCAGTCGACACAAGAGATGTACTCTGGTATAGAAAGATGTTGCCGTTTCAAAGAATTAATGGATTCAGAGATGGGTCTGAGTTGGAAGTACGCCAGGCCAGATTATGCTTTCAGTAACATGAGGATCAGGGCTGGATTTAGGGGCAGGCAACCCAGGCAACCGCCTGGGGTACCGGGCTTGGGGGCGGGGGGGCACCAGGCTGGGGGTGTGGTAAGGTATTTAAAAGTTTTACAAATGGAAAGGGGAGTGCACCAAAGACGCTCTCCTGGGGTGCCATTTGGTCTGAGGCTAGCCCTGAAGAGAATATATCTGGAGTAATGCCACTAAAGTCAATGGACTAATCCTAGATTTACCCCACAGTAACTGCAGAATTTGGCCCTCTCCCTGCAAGTATCTTCAAAATGCCCACAGCCATGTTGACCACAGCCAAGCTATGATGTCATGCCTGGAAAAAGT